CCCCCCCCCCCCCCCCCCCCCTCTGAAATTACCCCCTGGCCTCCTTCCCTCCCCCCCCCCCCATCCGTTCTGTTTGCAGACACAAAATACAGGCTTGTTCCCTTCCCTTACTACCACAGTGGTAGTCAAGCGTTTCCATTGCTAAGTGAGACAGAGATGAAGGGAGGTTTGCCTCCTTTTATGACCGTTCTTGCCCCCGTCATTTAGGGCATCCCAGCCGTGGTTAAGTTAGCAAGACGGTCGTTGAGGGCATCGGGCTTTCCACATGGACTTCGCTGGTCGCAAAAGGGGATCATGTGAGATCGGGACACTGTGACCGTCATAAGTACAAGCCAGTTGCCAAGCCACGCGTATCCCAACGGTTATTAAGTTAGGAACAGTGAATTGTGCTTTCCCTGTTGACCTTGCCAGTCACAAAAAGGGGATCGCTTGACTTGGAACCCTGCAACAGTCATACACGTGAGTCAGTTGCCAAGTGTTGTGTATTGCAGCAGTTGTTTAGTTAGCAATATGGTCGTTAATGTGAATCGGGCTTTCCCCATGGACTTTGCTCATTACGGAAGGTGATCGCGTGACCCTGGGGGACCCTGTCATAAATGTGAGTCAGTTGCCAAAGCCTTATGAATTCCAGCAGTTCTTAAGTTGGTCACATGGTCATTAAGTGACACTGACTTTGCTTGTTGGTAAGGCGTGGAAGGGGATTGCGTGTCCCCCAGGGACCCTGCCACCATCATAAATACGAGTCACTTGCTAGCGGAATGGAATAGGACAGAGATGGCAAACCTTTTTCTTACGGCATGCCAAAATTGCGTCTGCGTGCCCACTCAATCTCCCCACCCACCTGCGTATGCGTGCGTGACACCCCCATGCATGCACGCGCACCCCCTCCAGAGGCTTTCCTGAGGCCTGGGCGGGGGGCAAAAATGGCGTCCCCTGGCCCTCCGGAGGAGCGAAACATGCTGACAATTGGCGTGCCACCAAATATGGCTCTGCGTGCCACCTGTGACACGTGTGCCTTAGGTTCGCCATCACGGCAATAGAATACAGCACAGAATATAGAATGGAAGAGAATGCAGATTGGAAAACAGAACGGAATGCAGAACTGAGTGGAATGGAATGGAATAGAAAAGAGAAGAGTATGTAGAATATGGAATAGAATAGAATTCAGAATGGAATGGAATAGAATAGTGGAATGGAATTAGAATAGAAATGAATAGAATAGGATTGAGAATAAGAATGGAATGGAGTGGAATAGGATCAAATATTTACTGTCACTTTAAATGTGTATTAATCAGCATACATTAAAATATTTCCTTGCATTCAGCCATTATAACCATTGTGCATATACTCACATACATGCATACTTATGACCTGGAGGAACACCACGGCCTTCATTCCAACGTTTACATACACGGGGCGAAAAACAAGAGATCTCCGCCAGATTATGAGACGTACAGCATAAGGAACCTAAGCCGTCAACCCATTACTCACAGAGGACTAATCGCTTGACCTTTGTCTTCACTTTTGTAGGGTTCAAATGTTATTTATTTATTTATTGTCCCCTTTTTAAACAGGCAACCCTCTGCATTTACACTTCGAGGCCTTGCTNCAGGGCCCAGTTATCCTGGGCAGCCTCCAGCAGGAAGATGGGCTGAAGCCGCCGAGCCGCCTGGCCCCCCCTGCAGGGGTGATGAATTCCAGGAAAACCCCAGCACTGCCTCCCTCCTCTCCCCACCTGAAGGTGCCCGGTGGAATATCGCCTTGCATCCCTTCTTATCTCCTCCAAAATGCTGAAAAACAGGTTTGTATTCTAGCGAATGCATCCGGTGGCAAGGAGCAATGATTAATCCTGAAGGGGAATATTGGAAAAGTTGCATTGTCAAAGTCCTTATTTCTTTCATCAAGCAGGTGAAAAGAAAGAGATGATCTTAGATCATGGCCATTTTAAAAGAGGGGTGGGCTTCAACTCCCAAGAATCTCCCCATCAGCAAGCTTTAAGAGGGGACGACCAACTCCCATAATTCCCCAGCCATCATGCTTTAAGAGGAGTGGATTTCCGATTAAAAGTTTCAGTTGTTCCTTTCATTTTAATGGTTTTAATCTTTTATTCACTGAATTTAATTTGTTTTGATTCTTACTCTCCTCTGGCTTTTGCATTGCTGGGAAATAAAACTTGTTTTCAAAACAAAAATAAAATAAAATTGCATTTTTCTCTTTTAGAATTCTCACCTCGCCCAATCTTTAAGGAACCTGGTCTGTCAAAATCCTTCCTGCACCCCCATCAACGGGTCTCCGGAGCCCCCCAAAGCTTGCCCATCCCCCCATCAAGTCAACGGAATTAGCAACTGGTGGGTTATATAAGATTTCAGTTGATAAAATTTATAATGAACAGATCTTTGTGGTAATTATCCTACAAGATTTAAGTTGGTAAAATTTATAAGGAAGAGAGTATTGTGATACCGTAGTCATCCTAGAAGATTTAATTTGATAACATTTATAACACAGATCATTGTTGGTTGCCATCCCTTTTTCAAGGTTATTTATATTTTGATCCTTTTCTCTGGAATCTTCCAAGCATTCCTCAGCATTCAGCTGACAGGCCTAGTGGTTGCTGATTTTAATCTCTTCCCCCTTATTGAAAATATTTTTTTCCTCCCGGAATCAACCCATTGCCGAAATAAAACATGAGGGTTATTTATTTGCCAGATTGTCAACTTGTTCCTCCGGCTCATTCTCATCCACATTAAAAGTTTGCTCTATTTTCTGGGATTTTCCTTCTTGGAGATTGTTTTGCTCTGGTGCTTTGAACAGCATCTGGTGTCTTTGCTTGTTCACTTCTGCTTTCTGGAATCAAAAGCTAGGATGGGATGGGTTAAGCTTTATTGTCATTTTGTACTCAGAGCACACTGGTTCTTTTTAAAAATGAATTCCTTCCTTCCTTTCTCCCTCACTTCTTTCCTCTTTTGTTCTTCCCTTCTTCCCATCCTTTTTCTTTGTTCCTTCCTCCTCCTCTCTTTGTTCCTTCCTCTCCTTCTTTACTTCCTCTATCCCTATTCTTCCTCCTTGCCTCTCCCCTCCCTCCCTCTTTCTTTCTTTCTTTCTTT